CTGTCCTAAGCACTCCAGCCTCTAAGATCTCTCTTCCTCTCCCAGTTACTATGGCCACCTTCCAAATACTCAAAAAGAAAGCTTTCTATTCATGTGTCCACTACACACCACAGCCCATTTGACTGGATTTTCAGGGCTATTTTTAATCAGCTCTTTTATCATTAGACCTCATTCATTGTGGCTTCCTTGCAACCCTCTTGTAGCGTGTGTGCAGGGAAATCCAAGCACATGGAGACAACAAAGACGAAGTCGACCCAAGCCCTAGATGGTTGCCGTGCCTCAACCTTTCTCTCATAAGCACACCTACATGAAAACTGCTAAACATGGAACTGCTCTTTTCCTTCTTTCTTTACCTAGCCTATTATCATGTTCTCCCTCCCCCACACCCGTCCTCTGACCCTTTATCCATCACTTTTCAAAGAATATGCAGAATGTCAACCACAGAGGCTCCTGTGTTTCCATCCTTTCTCCTCCTTTCCTCTCCACAACTGTCATCCTTTTAAGGTTAGCCAACCATGGGCTATCATTACAAGTCAACAATGCCTAGCTTGGTAGGGTAGCCACAAACAAGAGGGGGGGGGGAGAAAGAAAGAAGAGAAAGGAAAAAAGTTGGGGAGGGGTGAAGTATTTAAAGGGCTCATAAAATTAAGTCTCAGATTTAAATTCTCCCTCATATTTTATTGTCTTTTCTTTTCTTTTTCCTGTGGTAAATGGTAATTAGAGTCAATAATCTTTGCTGAGAGAGCACCTTGTCTTCACAGTGTTTATATCATCGTCATCAAAGATCTGCCTCAAGGGCCTGGCTTGTTAATAATTTAAGGTGTGCTCAGCCTAGTTAGAGCAGGAAGCCTAGTTATTGAGTTTGTAAACCAGCCGATGATTTATGGGAACACCTTGCATGACTCATGCTCATTAAATAAAATACTTCAGTTTAATAAGGAACATAGGGTAAACAGCCCTTCCCGTTACAGGGTGAGTGTGTGATTGGAGATTGTTGAGTTTTGTCACCAGGTCCCCAACATTATTCTGCCTTAATTGTACTGGCAGACCAAGGAGAGTGGAAGGCTGTGCACGGGTCTGTGTGTATCTGCACATGCTGGCACAGTGGCTGGCTCTCTCATTCCCAGACTTGTGGGATACAAGGAAGGCCATCCCCTTCGACAAATACAACTTGAGATGTTGCATCACCTACAGGCTATATCCTCTCATGGAGAGAATGGTAAATCTCCTTCTCTCTAAAAGTCTACTAATTAAGAAACTAGAAATGTTCATGGAAATAAAATTACAAGAAAAAAATCAATGCACGGTTGTTAAATGTAACCCACATTTAATAGCTCTAACCATATTTTACTGCTAAACGCTATGCTTCCCTCATTTACAATTCCTAAGCAGACTGATATATCAAAAGCTAAACAGAGCCTTCTTGTCTGTGTAAAAGAGATGCACACAGGATATCCTTTTCTTCTTTAATGCCCAGTATCTGGGATTCCATGGATCCATTGGACTCAGGATGCTCTTGTGACACAGTGTTTCCTAACAGACACAATCTGGCCTATTTCTCTCTTGCTATCAATATACTATTAGGAGCATAGAGTTGGCACCAAAAGAGTTAGAAAATTAACTTGTTTGGTTTTACAGATTTCCATATGATGTAAACATTAATAGTTTGGGGTGATGGTTGCATGGTTTCTTGGGTAGTTGAGAAAAACTTGGGGGGGGGAGAAAGAGAGAGAGAGAGAGAGAGAAAGAGGAGAGAGAGATGATAAAAAAGCAAGGAGGAAGAGGAGAATAAACTGAACTTTTAATTGTTTCACATATTGAGAACACTTTTATACAAGTCCAGTTTGTTTGTTTGTTTGTTTGTTGTGTGTTTGTTGTTGTTGTGGCATTGAGATATTTCTGAGTGATACCAAAATGGATACAACAAATCACTAAGGGAAAATCATTTGCATTCATTTAATAAACTGCATATCCCTCAGGATTTCTATCAGCTTTCTTTGGAAAATAAACAGTCTTGAAAGAAAGCTGCCTGCCGCTGTCTGAGTGGAATGCTCTGCGGTCTGTTTTACTACAGAGAAAATGGCTAATCTGGGTCTCAAGTTACAGCGCTTCCCTCTCAGGAATGCTACCTGCTTTGAGTTGGGCTGGGTTTCCACTCATTATCCACACTGTTTGTGGATGTGGCTTCCATCTGCAAAGCAACATTTAACATTTAACTCCTGCAGAAAGAGAGCGCTGATAGCCAGCTCTGGCTGCAACTAAAGCTTTCCACTTTGCTTATAGATTATGATACTCTATTCCTCTTGTAATAAAAAGGGAATTATAGAATGATGGGGGTGGAGGGGGCAGGGAGCAAACACTTCTATGGGGACTGCCTACAGAATAACCTCAAAAGCTAAACACAAGTGTCAGTGGATTTTCAGTTAATCTCTGTATCCTATACGACCCAGTTTCCCAAATGTGGTCCTGTTTCACCCAGCCATGAAACAGTAACATGTTCCCTAAACATCGTCCGAGACACACAGCACATCTTCCTTCTCTACACTGAGAAAGTTTACAGAGACAACTAATTTTGAGTAGCAGGGCTTTATTCAAAACGATTAAAATTACAAATGACTTTATAATAAGCATTTACAAGACAAATGAGACTGTAAGCAAGCTGGCCAAGAAGGTACTTATGATATTTTCCACATTATATCTAGCAGAATTGTATAATTCTTCATAACAATTGCAGTGACAAGGTCCATGCTGTCATCCCTATGCCCTGGTTTTAGTCATCTTTACTTTCCCAAAAAATATCTGTTTAGATTTTTTCAGATTCAACTTTGATTTCAACAATGTACTAAGAATAAATTAAATAACTTCAAGCTCATTGAAAAAAAATTCCACACATGTGTGCCTATACATGAGTGCTCTGATCAACCTTCTCTGAAACAGGAAGATTAAAACCATCAAGAAATTAACATCCAAGCTCATACGGGTCTTCTTACTGTGGTTAAGCTCCAGTCACTAATGCCCCCCCACAATCTGACTGAGGTCTGTCTCTATTGTCATTAATTTCACTATGTGGTGAATAACATCTGGGTTTCTGAAAAGTCTAGTTGCTGTTACAGTTACAGTACAAGAAAACAGGAATAAATGTGACCATTTTTTTTTTGGAACCCATCCATTTCCCCACATTTCTAGCTTTGTGTTCCACTAAGGTATCTGACACATACCCTGTTGTCTCAGACATGAACAGAAGCTTGATTTTTCTAGAAAGTGCTAGAAAGGGAATATTGGCAAAGTCCGCTTTGCGAAAATATGACTTTTCTCCCTTTTGCCACAGATAGAAAGGGCATGCCTGGAAGCAGCAGGACAAATGATTTCCAAGGGGCCTCTCTGGCTGGGCTCTAGTACCAAATCCATAGAGATAAAGCTTTATGGCCAAAAAGAGCTTCTCAGAATGGCCAGGCCACACCTGCCCGATAGCATCTCGGCTACTCCCTTCAAGGACAACAGGGTAGTCATTTCTGCTAAATGCCTCTTTTCCAATACAGCAGACACTACCGTGCCAATGTATATAAGCAAGAGAGGCAAACTGTTTATCCATACCTGAAGATAAATATGTACTAGCAAATGCAAATCCTGTCAGCCAGTCACCTGGTCTGAACACAGAGCCACCAGCTAGGAGAGGGACCTGTTTTATGAAGGGTGTGTCCCTGGCGCTTTCTGGCTCCAGGCTTTTTGCAAGGGTGCACTCTATTGTCAGGCAGAACCAACAACTGCCTTGCCAGGAATCTCTCCCACCATTCCTGACACCTAAGCAGAAATTCTTCTCTTTAGAAACAGAAGCAGAAATAGTCTGGTGGGAGGGGAGAAAAAAAAAACAGCGATGGTGGGAGATTAAAACCTTTCCATCAGAGGTCTCTTTCCCTCCCTTCACTGTGTAAGGACACTGACTGCCAGAGCTGCTTGCTCAGCCACCCTGAATGTATAGCTGCCTCTTGTGCCCCAGGGCCAAAGCAGATTTCTTTACTAGAGATGCAATCAGCTCTAACCAATCAGTAAGAAGGGTTAATCAGCTGATCGATTGGTCCCTGAGCAGCTAGGACCTGGCTCCTCTCTGACTGGCTCTAGCCTGGCCTTGGGGCAAGAGGTTGGGAACTTTTAATTATCCACAGCAGCTACCGCTCTGATTGAATGGTCAATGGGTTTACTACTGAGGCGGCCCTGCTTGAATAATAATAGAAAACAATGTGAACTCTGGCGAGTGCAAACAGAGGCCCCCAAAAAGGCACTTGGAGATGGAGAATGCACTGTTGAGACAAGTTAATTGCCTGACAGAAACCAAATTTCAAAGGTCTGGAAGACGTTTTGTCTGAGAGGGGTAGAGGCTAGGGGAATGATCGAGCAGCGAAATGGCATTTTCTTTTCTCCTCCCCGGCCTGTGACCATCTCTGGCTACACGCCGCTTCCCCAGGACAAAGGGTAACTTGCTCACCCTGGTGGCTAAAATCTCATCATTTGAGGAAATTTGTGTTTTGACATTTGCCGGCACTGTGAGGGTTTAATTATTTTTCATCAGGAACTTCCTTCAGAAGAAATAATCATAATCTTCCCTAACTTTAGGATGGAGAATGTTCAGAAAGAGAAGAGAGAGTAAAACATACGAAATTTGAGTGTCTGTGTGTTTGTGTGTGTCAGAGAGAGAGAGCATGCACGTGTGTGCGTGTGTGCATGTTTATTGAAAGCTTTTCTCTTTGCACTCTACGGTGTACAGGCCTAGCCACTCGACATCCCCCCAACAGAGAAAAAAACTATTTGCTAGGGGACCTCACTGGAATATTCTGATCTTTGTGTTCCCTGAGAACAAAGCTTACTGGTGTTTCTGTGCAACACCCTTGGAAATTAAGACAGTGTCTCAAAATCAAGTCTCCTCTTTCTGAGAAGCAGATGCTACCAAGAGGGCAAGATAGCCACACATCGATTTCATGTGCACGCAAGGAGGTTAGTGAAAGACGGGAGGGATTCCATAGAGCTTCTGAAAGGGATGTTTGGGTTCAATCTTTTTTAAAAACAAAAGGAAGTAAAGACTGCGTTAGTGGAATTTGGATGGGTGGGAAGGGGAAAGGTCAAATGAACCCCTTTGGAAGGCATCAATAGAAATCTCAGTCAAGACCCTCAAATTGTCCAAGATCAAAAGTCATCCTATTTCAGCAGATTCCATGTTAAAATTTTGCCTTTCTCCAGTGATCTCATATAAACACGAGTGTTCATCAGGCGCGCCGGAGTCATTACTATTTATATTACTATGCCCCGGCTGTGTGCAGTCAATTCATAATCGTCCAGTTTTTCTAATTAATCACAAAAGATTTTTGTTTTGCCTGCAGCTAGTTCTGGGGTGACTCACTATGGCAAGCCAAAGCTCATACATCAAACACAGGCCCTTTCTCACTCTGGCCTTCTGCTGGGGAATGCAGTTCGGTGCTTCGCCACCAAAGAGGTGCAGCCTGAGCATGCGCGGCCCCAGGCAGAGGAGAAGCAGTCCTCTACTGCGCCACTTGTTATTTTTATCTGATGCGTTCTTAGGCCAAATCAGATCCAGAGAGCACAGCGAGGTTTCTAAATTCAGAGCTCTGCTCTTCTGTCTCCCTTTCTCCCCCTCTACTGACATCCTCTTTTATCAAATGGGCTCAAGATCACAGCATTTCCAACAGAGGGACAGGGCACCATTTTTTTCATAATCTTTAGCCCTTTTAGTGGTGGCCTTTTGTGAAGAGAATAAACAAATAATGTCACCAAGAGAAGGAATTTTCCCTTGCCAGATTCAGGTCATGATGGGCAGTAAGAACATCTATTCTGTGTGCGGTGGGTCTCATGGAAAGAGCCAGAAAGGAGTCCCTGAAGATACCTTCCTCCAGAACTGGGACGAGGAAAGCTGGGGCCAGAGCTGGTTTGAGTCAGGACAGCCGTGTCCATTTCATACAAATGAAGAGAGGACCACCTGGAAGGAAGCAGGCCGCCACTGTCCCGTGTAAACTGCACTGCACGGGATGAAATTCAGTTGCCATCACTCCATGAGGAAGACTTGTGCTGATCGTGTCTGTGTTGGTGTTGGTGTCCTCGTGGTGGCAGCCCAGAAGATAACCGTCTGTCCAGTACTTCTCTAAACCTTCCAGATGCTCTAGAAATGCCTGGCAGCTTCTAGAAGCTGATTCTATATACAGCCAACCTTCAGTATTCATGGAAGAAGCCACACTCACAGATACAGCCATCTGCAGAAAAAAAAAGTCAAGGAAAACTCTGCATCTAACTAAACGCATGAAGATTGTCTTTCTATCCTGGGATGCAGAGGGTTGAACTTAGATAAATGTTCTACCACTGGGCTATACCCCCAAGCTTTCTGAATATTCCTGTCATTCCCTAAACAATACAGCATAACAACTCATTGCATATTTGTTGAGCGTTGGGTAATCTAGAAGTGATTTAAAGCACACAGAAGGATGTGCATACGTCATATGCAAATACCGTCGCTTCATGGAAAAGGCTTGTGCACCTACGAGTGTGGGTCCACAAGGGAGCCAACCATCTGCAGCTGAGATCACTAATGTTCTGGGTGTGTCGTTATAACATATATTTGTGCAGAACCAGATATACAAGGCACCCATCTGCTTGTCCTTTCAAGCTCCACCCTCAAATCCTCTCATTCTAACTACTTTATCACCTCTGCTAAACAGTCTCCCAGCTGCTTGCCCACGCCTACCACAAATAGCTCCACCAGAGAGAATTCTTTTCTAATCGCCCATAAAGGCTAACTCTGCCTGTCACAGGACATATCGCCCACCACTGCATTTTTTATATACCTGTCTGATTCTCTGACATGACGGTGCAGACTCCTGTCTCCTGCTTCAGATAGGTACTCTAGGATGAGGCTAACTGAGTCCAGTGCCCCACCCTTTGCTTCCCAATCCTAACCATTCTAAGGTTGTGTTTAATGATCCACTCCCTCACAGGCGGCCTATTCTCCCTCGTCTCCCCGCATTCCTCACATGTAGATCAATGTTGATGTGGAGTCCTTTTTGAATCATAATTACAACAACAATAAAGAATCTGTTATTATCTCCTGATTAGGAAAGGCCAAACATACCTGGGTCTGTGTTTGGGCTTTTCCCCTCTTCTGAAACCTATCTGCATATGTAAGAGGTGGAGCAAGGGGCATCAAAGGACATCTGCTTGTTTGATCTAATTAGTCTAGTTTTTCCTTCTCTACCAAAACACTTGAAAAGGGAAATTCCAGACAGTTCTTCAATCTCTGTGAAGTAAGTCAGTTTCTTAGACAAGAAGACCTGAGTTTTCTTTAACACACTGGCTACCTAACAAAAAAACAAGAGGACCCAGTCTTTGACTCCATAGTCACTGATAATTTGTTTATTGGTGTTGGTCAACACAGATGCATGTGGCTCTGTTCTTATTTACAAGCAAACAGCATCATACCCACTAGGCTCCTAGGGAAACGAACCTGAGCAGGCTGTTACAACCCCCCCCATCTGAAAACAGTGGTGTCGGGGTGCAGTGGGAAAAGGACTCAGTCTGCAGTGCGGTTCATGGTAAGAGACTCTGCAAGTTCCCTTCAAGCCACATCCTAGGGGATGGGGGAGTGGTGCTCCAAACACAAGGGTATAAATGATCTGCACTTCTTTGTCAAGGATGCGGGATAGACACAAAGAATACACAGTGGCCTGCCTCTGTTACTTTCTACAGGTGGAGAATGGGAAAGGACTAGCAAGAGGCTTTAAGTAGGATGTGCTAGGGACTCTGGAAATGTCCAACAATGCCCTCCCCCAGAATAGGGTAGAGAGGGAAGGAGACATATAGAAGAGAAAGAGACAGAAGGGGAGAGGAGGGGAGAGAGGGGAAGGGAGGGGAGTGGACAGGAGGGGGGAGGAAGGAGAGGAGAGGAGGAGAAAGACAACAATCACAAGGTGGAGGACAAGAGAGGGGAAAGAAGGAAGAGAGAGGGGAGAGGTAAAGGAGAGAGGAGGAGGGGAAAGCAGGAGGCAGAAGTAAAAGGGGCGGGGAGAAACCTGAGTGAGCATCTAAGTGAGGAATGGAATGGACAGAGTTAGAGACACTTAGTAATGAAGAGAAAGTAAAAGAAATAGAACATTGGAAGTTTCTAGAAGAACAACTAGGATTAGGGTCTTCAGAATTCCAAGCAGTTTGTTCTGCTTCATCTAGTGTCTCTAAATATGAAACACAGCCATGAGTTTATCAAAAACTGATCTGGGGTGGGTCAGAAAACCTCATGTTTCTTGATAAAAACACAGGTCCAGTTAAAAACTTTCCCCACACCCCTGTATTCCCACTGCTTCTTCCTTACAGGAGTCTAGTAGAAGTTCAAGCAGCTTCCTAACATTCCAACAGCCTTCAGCAAATTTAAGTCTCCCTTTGTTAAAGAAGGGTAGGAATGACACTGAGTCACTTCTCTAGCGTGGGCGCACTGACCACATACACAAGCCCAGAGCCTGGAATCACAGACCAGGCATCCTGACCAGACAGGTTCTGAAGTGCAGGCTCCTCCTCCCTCTCACAAACTACTGCCACCAAGGCACCCTAAGCCATTGGATGGGGAAGCCACCAATGGAGGACTCAGAGTGGACACTCAGCAGATTTTGGGTCTACCTAAAAATTCTGGAGGCAAGGACCATATAATCTAAAGCTAAAAGTAAAGTTAAAATCTTAAAAATAAATCACCTCTAATCACACTGTACATGAGCTAGCGATGTAGCTGACTGAGTGCATGCCTGGCATGGTTCAAGCCTCAGCATCACGAGAGAGAGAGAGAGAGAGAGAGAGAGAGAGAGAGAGAGAGAGAGAGAGAGAGAGAGATTTTTTAAAAATTGTAAATGCCACATCCCATCAAATAACCACAGTGACTGTAGGTATAGTTTAATACCCACCCAGGTTTCCAGCTGGAGTTTTCTAACTTACTTGTAATGTTCTGTAGTGTCAATCCTTCACCTCTCCCTCAGAAAGGGTTATGAATTATCTCAGTTGCTTTTTTTTTAATACCTAAATAAAAAATGGCTACTCCGGTGGCTTTAAATTGGCTACAGTTATGGCTGAAAGTCTAATAGTTCCCTAGCATGTAAGACCCTGCACCATACACACAAAATTCCCCACTCCATAGGCAGTATGAGTCTCGACACTAATTAATAGATCCACTCAAAAGTAAAGGTGGAAAGGGGCAAATATCCTTCGAATTCTTTCTGAATCAATATTCAAGACTGGTGCAGAATCACTTTATTTATTTGTTTGTTTATTAAGTTTCATTTGGGTTTTGTTTTTTGAGACAGGGTTTCTCCATGTAGCCCTGGTTATCATGGAATTCACTCGGTAGACCAGGCTGAACTCAAACTCAGAGATCTGCCTGCCTCTGCCTCCCAATTTAATCCTTTAATCCTCCACTAGGATTAAGAATGTGTGTGCCACAACCATCTGGCTGAATAGCTTCATTTTGGAGATTAGCATTTGTAATGGAAAAACTCTATGTCAAGGATCCTTAAACCCAAGCCCCCATCCTTCATTGAACAGAGTCAGTACTTATAGAATAACAGAATTTGAAGTTGGCAAAAGGAGCGAATGGTTTCTTAGAGTCCACATTTAGACACCTGTTCAGTCTTCATCACCAGATGAGAGGCAGAGCAGAGGTGGTAGAGGCTGACCAGCCCAGCTACACCATCAGACATCAGATCAAATATTAACAAGCAAGGAAGCTCAGAAATTCTTAGGGTTTAGCAGGAGCCCTCCTTTTTCCAGCCACTACCAAGTAGGGAAACTTCTACCTTCAACTCCAGTTCTGCTTCTCACCCAGGAATATGCTCTCAGCTTTATTCCCATGGGTGTCCTTTAGAGTGACCTCCTAACCAAAGAGAAGAAAGAAATCTCTAGTCCATGTGGTGATATATTATTTAATAAAGCTTGCCTGGAGGATCAGAATGCAAAGCTAGCCACAGCCATAGAAGCTGGGCAATGGTGGCATACACCTTTCATCCCAGGACTCGGGAGAAAGAGGCAAATGGATCTCTCTGAGCTCAAGTCCACCCAGGGCTGCATGAGGGTGAATCAGTCTAAAAGAGAAACAGAACTCACACCTTTAATCCCAGCACTAGAGAGGTATATAAGGAAGAAGTAAAGGGTCTCATGTGAGATTCAGTTTCCAGGCTCAGGGCAGACAGGATCTCCATTTCAGTCTTGGTAGAGGTAACAGCTACTGGCTGGATGCTTTGCTTCTCTGATCTTCAGCTTGAACCCCAATATCTGTCTCTGGGTTTTTATTAATTGTACTGCATATCCACACTAAAAGAAGTCCCCAGAAGTTCCCAACCTGACCCCCCTTCCCCAGCCCAGAGCTCATGGCTTCAATACTCACTTAAGTCCTGGGCTCGGCATTCTAATTCTAGACATAACACAAATAGCAGAGATCTAAGTTCTGGGATATGGCTCATAGTCCAGTCTTTGTCTACACTGTGCAAGGCCCTGGGTTCCATCCTCCTTACCAGCCACCTTGTACACACTAGACATTCTTTCTAGACCTTTCCCTAGACCTCCTCTCTTCAGGCAAATGGGCCAGGAAGGTAGAATGATAACCAGCAGGGAGAGACTGACTCCATTGTGCTGACTCCATAGCACAATGTTCAGTATCATGTTGTGACCCACTATTGGACAAAAGTCACTTAGTGTACTGTGGTCTCCTTTATCTCCATGGCTTTGGGGGTAGGCGGGGGATGCACACAGGTGTCCAGGACACTAGGTGTCCAGAGGACTGAGGTAGTTATCAGTATGGGTAGACTGAGGCAGGGGATGGGTGTCATTGTCCCTCCTCCCTGCCCTTCCTTCCTCTTTCCTCCTTCCTCCTCTTTGTTACCAATTCTGTGCTCATTCATGTTCATTCCATACTTTTACTCAAAGCCAAGATTGTTTGTGAGTTGAAATACTTGATCCACTTGTAAATATTCTCACAACAAAACTCTTAAATTGCCAGGCGTTGGTGGTACACACCTTTAATCCCAGAACTCAGGAGGAAGAGGCAGGCAGAGCTCTGTGAGTTTGAGGCCAGCCTGGTCTACAGAGCGAGTGCCAGGATAGACTCCAAACTACACAGAGAAACTCTGTCTCAAAGAAAAACAAAAACAAAAACAAACAAAAAAAAAAAAACACCTCTTAAGTCCAAAACAGTATGCAAGCCTCACTTTTCAAATCTCTCTGTTCTTGG